AAGACATCTCTCAGGAACTATTTTATTTTTTTTTTTCTGTAGTGGACAGACCCTGCCCAGGATACCTGGCCCTTCTTGCTGGGATCTTACTTGGAAGCAAGTAATGGATGTAAGATTAAACTCACCATCAACTCTCACTAAAATGGAGTTCAACAGAGTAGAATCATGCTTGAATATCAAATTTCTGCTTCGATTTAAAGATATGGATTGTTAATCACAACATCTCCACATCTTCTCAACCATTGCAAAGTGTCACTGAAATAGTTCAGGCTAGTTACTTGTAAGCAAGATTCATTTTTGGCAGTGTATTCTTACCTCCTGTTTATTCTCCACCTGCAGCTGTTATTCCCAGCAGGAAGGAGTGGTGTGCTGCTCTTCAGGGCTCACTGACAGAGGAAAAGGACAGAACTGATAACACTGCACAGAAACAGATTTGACTCCAGAGTAACAGACCTGGCTTTGATCTTGCCCTGGTGTCTCTGTAATTCCCACCTGGGCAAGAGCAGAGCAAGGCCAGGCATTTTCAGTTCCCCATGGCAAGTCAGTGGTAACATAACAAGCTCTGCCTTGTGTCTGACTTGATCCATGTGGCTCCTTGAGGACAGCAGGCAGGATATGGTGATGGAGTTACTGCCCTGGTGCCAGACAGACCAGGGACTGCTATGAAATCAGTGAACAGCCTGGGCTTCCTGCTGAAATAGATGTAGAAAACAAAGGAGGAATTTCTTAGGAATATCTCACAGGATCACAACTATAAGGTTTCCCAATATCTTGTGTATATTGGGTGTACTTTAACTTAATTCATTGCAAGCAGTTTGTATATTGAGAGAATAAGGCATTCCTACTTTCTCTTGTTCTTTTTCACTTGCTCGTTTCTAAAGCAATACAGAGCCTCTAGTTTGTCTCTCTTCTCAACAAAGGTGAGCAAAGAGTCAGGATCTCATTTGGGATACAGTTCTGTTCATTTTTTTTTTCAATCACTTAATTTGTTTTACTTTTAATGGCTCTAGCTAACTATGTTTTGAATTAGTATCCAGACAGTGAATGGTTCCGTTTGTTTTTAATAGAGGTGACTGAACAGATTCTGGTTTATTCTGCTGTTGGTAAGTAGTTTCCTCACCAAAACAAAAATATTTATCTGGCTCTAAATATTTTTTTTCTAGAGGTTAACTAAAATGTCTTGCTCAGTTTCTTTTCCCATTTTTATCCAGAGGAAACAGCTATAACACTCCAGAGAGCTCTAGCATATCAAATATGAATGAAAATAATATATTTCTTATGCAATTACATGTTTATGTTTATTACACATCATGAAGTAAATGTCCTGTTTGTCTGTATATTTCTACACAACAACATGCTGTGAATGAAAATGTTATCCCTTCTCTCGAGCAATGAGAGTGCATTGAGATTTCCAGGTTTATTTTTTCACTGAGAACTAAGTATGTTTGCATCTCTAGTTGAAAACACTGTTGAAACACCCATATAGTATTTATGGTTATTTTATTGCTGCCTTAGGGCCAGAAGATACTAAAGTAACTGTATCAAACTTTCTCGTAGATATCCTTCCTTTACCCAATTACCCCTTAATACCCTTAATTACTACTAAACCCTGAAACTTGCTCCAAGATAGCCAGATGCTGAAAGTCTGGAAAGCAGCTGGCTACTAACTCATACAAAACACTTTGTAAGGTTATGTGGTAGTCTGCAGTGTTTCTCGGTGGGTCTGAAAGGTGTGTCTGGAGGTGGTGAACACAAATGGATGGTACTAGCCTGGCTGAGTCTGCCAGGGACTAGGAAGGACTGGGCTCTGAAACTAGGATCTGCCACTGAGACACTGAGAGGAGTTGAACGTGTGTCCCGTGTTTCAGCCTCCCTGATTATCACAGAGAGGTGCTTTCTACTGCTGGAGTCACTGTGTCGGCATGAAATGATGACACTGATGAGTTAGGAGGGCTGAGGGCTGTATATGTGGCACCCTCATCCTGGCACACAGATGAATTCCCAGTGGGAAGCCTGAGCTGGGCACTGCCATAGGTATGCAAGGTTCATGCTGCTGCTCCTTGATTTGTGGGTGGCTTCTCTACCAACTCTCCCTCACCCTGAGCACTGCAACAACCCCCGAGGGCTGGAACACGCATCAAACACCCGCACTCCAGCCGGGGGTATAACCCTCACTGTGTTCTCTTCAAAGACCCAACCACGCTACTGGGCACAGAAAAATCATAGAATATCCTGAACTGGAAGAAACCCCAAATGATCATCCAAATCCAATTCCTTCTCCTGCACAGGACAACCCCAAGAATCCATCGTGTGCCTGAGAGTGTTGCCCAAATGCTTCTTGAAAGTCGTCAGGATTGATACCATAAGCACTTCCCTGGGGAGCCTATTACAGTGCCCGCCACCATCTGAGTGAAGAACGTTTTCCTAATATCTAACCCAAGCCTCTCGTGACACAGCTTCATGTCATTCCCTCGGATCTTTTTCAGGGGTCATCACGGAGGTGAGATCAGTGTTTTCCCCTCTGCTTCCCTTCACAAGGAAGCTGCAGAAGAGCTGCGAGGTGTCCCCTCCATCTCCTCCAGACTGAAGAGAACAAGTGCCCCCATCCGCTTCTTGTAAGAGCTGCTGCTTTGGAATCGGCTCTGCTGGCAGGGGCAAGCTCTGCTTTTGGGTTTGCCGTGCCCCCGGTTTGCTACATTCTCCCAAAAATATCTTCACGCACAGATTTTTCTGCGTACTTTTTGTAAGATGTACTTTGTGCGGGATACACTTTGACTGGGCGGGCGGGTGATCCCGGCTCCGGGGCTCTTGGCTTGAGCCCGGGGCAGATCCGGAGCGTTCGGGGCGGCCCGCGGGGAGGGAAGACGGCGCGAGCGGCTCGGCACCGCCGACACCGTCGGGCAGGGGTCGGTGCCCGCCAGGGCGCGTTGGAGACTGGTGCGGCCTCTGCCGGGGAAGAGAGCCAGGCGCCGGGAGGGAAGGAGAAAGAGAGGGAGGGTGGGTCGGTGGGTGCCGGCGGCGACATCCGGAGCGGGACCTCCCTCCCTCCCTCTCCCTCGCTGCGCTGCGCTCCGCTCGGTGCCCGCGGTGAGGCGGGAGCGGGCGTGGCGCCGGAGCGGAGCCCGGCTCCGCAGCAGCCGGGTCCCCGCAGCAGCCGGGTCCCCGCAGCAGCCGGGTCCCCGCAGCGGCGGAGTTCCCGCTCTCTCCCTCCCCCGGCGGCTGCGGGCCGGGCGGCGAGGCCGGAGCACCTCGCGGCAGGGGCGGGGTGGAAATTTAGCGGGCCGGTCTTCAGCGAGGCTGCGAGCGAGGGGCTCGGCAGGAGGCGGAGGGAGGGCGGGGAGCGGCGGAGCATCATCTGGCGGGGAAGGCGAGGGACCAAATGACTGTGAGGAAGGGCGGTAGCCGGCGCCGAGAGAGGAGCGAGCCGCGGCGCAGCGGCAGCAGCAGCCCCGCTCCCCCCGGCGGCGATGGCGGCGGCGGGGCTGGGCTGAGCTGAGCCGAGCCGAGCCGAGCCGCATGGCGCGGGCCTGATGTCGGAGCGCGGCCCGGTGCCGCGGTGGCGCTGCGGGAGCAGGAGGAGGATGGCGGGGCTGGTGTGGAAGTGGCCGCGTACCCGCCTGCCCGTGGGCGCCAGCGCCCTGGGCGTCTTCGTGCTCTGCTGGCTCTACGTGTTCCCCGTGTACCGGCTGCCCGACGAGAAGGAAATCGTGCAGGGCGTGCTGCTGCAGCAGGGCAAGGCGTGGAGGAGGAACCAGACTGCGGTCGCCCTGTTCAGGTACCGCCGTGCGCGGCCCAAGGGCAGCGGGGACGGGGAGCAGCGCGAATCCGCGGCCCAGAGCCCGCCCTCCCTACCCCGCCGAACCCCAAACTTTATTCTTTCTTCCCCGAGCCTTTGTTTTGTCACAGCGGGCGGCAGGCAGGCAGGGCCCTTTCTGCCCAGCAAAACTTTTTTGGGGTGGCTCCGTTGGCTGCGGGGAGGAGAAGGGGCTTGGCGCGGGGGATGGAGGCTTATTCTCGCAGGGATACCTTCGCAAGGGGGATGAGGTTCCCGGGGGCTGCGGAGGCTGCCTGCACAATGGGATGCTCCTTGCTTCCCCGGTATCAGTGGCACTGGCAGCCCCTGTGGCTGCTAACAAAGCCCAGGGCTGCCAGCCCGGCTTCCCTCGGAGCTGGGGACTGCCAGCTTGCTGCCAAACAGAAAACCCAGCTTGTGGAGCTCCCCGGGATGCGCCAGGCAAGGTTTGCGTGGATGTGCATTCGTGTCAGCGTGCCCGCTCTGAGCAGCGCTGGGGAAGCTCCGCGCTGCTCCTTGGCTCTACGTGGTTTATTATAGAAGCCACGTGAAAAGGAATCTTTTCTCTCTTCTTTGCTTTTGACGTGGCTGGGAAATGGCGATAATCCTTGGGGCCCATTTCACCTTGCCCAGCTGCACAGGAGAGGACGAATGTTGCAACCAAGCTACCACATCTGAGAGCGATGGAAAACCGAGCGGATCCCTGCGGTGGGGAGGCTTTTTTGAATCGCTCCGCTTTAAAAGCGTGTGCAGTGGAGATTTGCATCCCCTCAAAAATTTCTCGCATGTTTGGGTAAAATACAAGCAATTGGAAGACAGACAGATTTCCCTCCCTTTCCTGGAGGGAAGCTGTTGTTTTTTTTTTTCCTGTCCTCCAAGTAGCAAATTAAAGATCAGAGTGAGCAGTAATCAAATTCCCTCCAGAAAAATCCTCTTTAGTAAAATGAATCAGATCCAAAATTCAAGGGACTTATTTTCCCTTTTGAAAATATTTTTGTTTGTTTTTAAGTGACATACAGTTTTATTTTAAGTTCTATAGTATTTTCTGAATCTATTCACCTTTGTCATGAACTGGAGCTGATGTGGTTGCTTAATATCTTGTCTGCTGGGATAACAAACTTTACAGTTTTTGAAAGGCACATTTGTTGTTACCCCCAAGTCCTGCAGGAAATCTGAGCGATGATAGGTGATAAGCAGGTATGTGTTAATACTATCTCATTAGGCAGGCCTGGAAGAAGTCCTCCCCTTAATATCGAGCTAGCAATAAGGTACAGATGCAGGATCCCTCTCCTAAAGCACTTAACTAACAGTAGAAGCTATATTGATCTTCTTGAATATTCATTAATCTAGATTCTGTGCACCAAAGACCCCCATTTTTGGGCGTAGATGAATCCAGGTTTTTTGAAAAATTACCCCATAGTTTATGTAGGAATGAGTTTGATCTCTTAGTTGTCATGTTAGTAAACCAAATGTTGTTTCAAGATTGGTAGTGCTGCTGCAATTTCAGTTTATAAAATAGTTTTAGAGCATTTCTGCCACGTGGTTTAGTAACAAAAACTCTGTGTGGCTTATCAGCTATTCCACTTGTCCATATGTTTTTCTACTGCAAGCATAGTGGTTATCCCAGAGATGCTATTGAAGAGAGTCTCATGCAATAAAAGGAGCTGTTGTTTCTTGTCTGAGTCTCTTGATGAGTTGGTGAAGCACTAAATACAATGACCTTTATATCAATCTGCTTTAGAAGTAGTTTTTCTGAGAAGTTGTATGCTGGAGGTATGTAGTGAGTACAGTAAACTGTATTATTCCAACAGTTGTGAAGTAGAACTCTATTTTTGCTGCTTAAATTTGCTTTTCTTCATGATAGAAGATTTTGAAGTTGAAGCCCATGTCAGGCAAGCTGCTGTATATTTCAGGTTAACAGAAACTCTTTGCTCTGGTCCTGCTGTCCCTAAGCAAGGCAGCTGTAAAAACTCCAAAATTAACTTTCTGCTGGAAAATTCCAGAGGATGTCAGTCTCTGTTTGAATGGGAAAGGAGGGACAGAGCTTCACAGAAAACCTGCATGTGAACTTTCAAGTAATATGGTTTTCCATAATAGTCTAATATTAAATGTGTTTTAATGTATTTTTAATAAAATATTATTTAAGAACAATGTTAATTGCTGTTCTCCCTAGCCCTCCTGCCACCTTCTGGTTAACAAACAATTTTGCTTTTACTAAGTTTGAAGCATAAATTGGAGTTAATCTGGGCTAAAAATCCATATCCAATATTCATAGTACTGTTTTGTGTAATACAGTGGCATTTGTGGTACTGTATAGCCAGGTTCTTGGTACACAGAGCAAACACCTGACAGATTTGGAACTCTCTCCTTGTATAAACTCACCGGACTCCTATTGCTGAGGTAGATGCTGGGTAATTCATTTGATGAAATCATACTTTTCAAACCTCAGAAAGACTATTCCCCCTTTGCCTTCTGTACCTGGATCAAGGACAACTTCACGAAGTGACTTAAGTTCAACAAAACCTTCTGGGTAATTTTGGGGTAGTTTGGGTTGAACCCTGGAAACCAAGTGCTGGTAGCTCTTCAATCTCCACTGGTGCTTCCTTCTCCTCTGTACTGCCAGCAACCTTATGGAAAGATCTGATCCCTGTAAACCCTCGGTTATGCAAGGACCCAGACTGGCCTGGTTCTTGTGGAATGATTCAATGGCGATTTTGTGTTTGAATGAATTTCCAGAACCGGTTTTCAAATATAAAACCTGTATAATTAGCCATGGATGCCTTTAAATACTGTGAAAGTATCTCCTGTCTGACAAATGCTGAATATTCTGTCAGTCAGATGGTAAAACTGCTCAATTTTGAACTGCAAAGTGGTCAAAATAGGCGTAAGACCATCATTAAAGCCTCTAAGAGCTAATGTATCTAATATGCCTACAATATAATGGCTTGTCAGCCTCTGAGGTGGTTAATGATATTGAGCCCTAAATGCTTTTACAAATTGCTTAGGGGTGTTTTTAGGGCCTGGCACTGCTGAGATTATTTAAGCAAAAATGTTTTTACTTGTCTGTATTTGCTAAGGTAAATTACATACGGTAATACCTTTAGGATGGTTTTATTTAAAATACTGCAATTCATTAAAGGCAGAACTGGATCTTTTTGTCTGTCTTACGAGCTCCATACAATTACAAATCTCAAGCACTGTTTATATGACACTTCTTACATTTGTTTGTAGAGGGTGGACCTCCTCTAGGGAGTGAATATGCTTGTGGGGGGGCAGTGGATTTTGGGCTGTCAGGAGTCCCACTGAACAGATTGGATGATGGTTAGTGTCTCAAGGGTTCTTCAGGAAGAGATGAGACAGTCCCTGCAAGACAGCAGAAAGGCTTCCTTTGAGATTTAGCTTGTGTTCTTGCTTCTGCTGCTTCAGTTTTGTGTGATGCTGAAAGGTCACCAGGAATTATTCTGGGTGGCAGATGTCCCCTGTGAACTCACTGTTCATGACCTGACTCCAGTTCAGAGCCTCTGCTACAACTTTTCTCTGCTCTCCAGTGATGTCCCCTCTGACATGGCCAAACTGTCCATGCTCACCTTGGCTGGAGGCTTCTCCACTGCTTTCCACCTTTTCCATGGACAGAGCAGAGAAGGTACTGCCCTGAAATCACACAGCACGGTGAGTGGCTGAATTGGACAGAATATCCAGGCTCTGGTATTTGCAGTGTAAATGTGAATAGACTGTGGAGCCTCTCCTACTGTAGGCTTTGTGTGCCTTGCTAGAGTCCTGCTCTGTTCCCAGTGTGCCAGAGGGGCTTTCCCCACTGTAACTTCCTCTTGTCAGCTGGCTGTTCCTGTCTGTACCTGGAGTGCAATCACATGAGGAGCATCCCCCTGTGCACATCATTATTCATTCTGGATTGCTTTAACACAGACCTAGAATTCCAGGTCATTTCTCCAGCTGGGTATGACAGATGTGATTGCCTAGTCAACAAGGTTTTCCTTTGTTCAGATGGCTTTTTTTTCCCCCTTCTCTTTTTATGTCAGCACTGCAAATTACATGAGTAATTTGCATGAGTAATCTGCGATCTTCACTGGGCTATTTCAAGGCAAATCTGAGATTAAATTTTGCATTGCTCAGGTTGACTTTAGATAAGAGTTTGGCCCTTCTTAAACAGCTTCATCAGATACAGAACTATTCCTGCTTTCACTAGATGCATATGAAGGACCGAGTTAGGAGCAGACCTGGGAGATGCTGGATTAGGTTAGTTCTGCCTCTATGGCTTGAGAAGCCCTGCCCTGAAACTGATGGATATGCCCACATGTTGAGCCAAATCCAGTTCATTTTTCTGTCCTGAGTAGGTGTTGCTAATGCCTGGCTGTGTTTTCATCTACATTTTACTCGATTTTGTTGTTGTTGCTGTGGTATTTGCTTCACTGGTGATAAATGGAGTATTGGTAATTTGTGGTTTCCAGCTGAGATGAGAAATTTTGGTGAAGAGGTACAATTTTGAAAAGCAGGTTAAAGGTGAGAGGAAAGTTATTATTGCATGTCATTATTTGGAGGCTGTGATGAAGAAAGCAAGCTGTAGAGAGGCTTGATTCCATATCTTCAAGGTGGATACCTGAATGACATGAAAACAAAGAGAAATAGTTACCCGAGTTAGCTCACAGTGTCTTTGCAGATGAGAACAGTACTGGCAAGATAGGAATTGATTTAAATTCCTGAGTTCCAGCTGCAGCTCTCTTCCTTCCTTGACCCTAAGTAGCATTTTCTTACAGGCTTTGATTTGTAATCCTAATGAAACAGGCTGTCGAGATCCCTGTATCTTGCAAAGTGTTGGATTGCTGCTTTCCTTTGGACCTGTAAAAACCCCAGTGTATATGGGAGGATGTAGCCAGGTCCCTGGGATTCTTTTCCTGTTAGCTGGAAGCAGCCAAAGGCCCACAGCCAGAGGCACTGGGGAGCAGGAGGAACAGAGGTTTGTTGGA